AACAAGAGTAAGAAAAAAGAGATGCATATTCCACCAACCCCCCCTTATATTAAAAAAAGACAACAGCTCAACGCACATGTCCACAGGAGAAAAAAATAAAACTGCACGGTGGCTTTTACTCTATCATTTCCTGTTTCTTTGATGTTAACTCTGCACTTTTTATTTTCTCTTTACATGGGTTCTGGCTGTAGCTGTAGTAAATGTCTAGTAGTGCAAATTCCTGTTTGACTAGAAGAAGAAATTTCTTCAAGAGCTATAGCATGCCGTCTTCCTTTGTTACTAACTTAAGGAACATTTTCCCACATTATTATTCAACAGCCCCAAACAGATTCTTAGCTTCTGTACGCCACGATGCTATACATTTGTTAAATTTTAAACAAGCCTTGAAAATGTGGACAGTGCAAATGTGACCTCCACAAATAATCACAGATGTTGTACAAGTAGAATTCTTTTAAGAATCTGTAAACTTGCCAAATTCCATTTTCAAATAGCTAACCTGCATTCATTTCAGCTACATGGGTACAATAAAAAGCACACTGAAGTTCTAAAAAGGAGACATTTTTAACTATTTGGTCTATTATAAATTAAAAATGCACTACCTTAATTGGCATTTATCTCAAAAGAAACATCTATTAAACAAGCCCCTTTTCCAAAATACTGTCAAAAAACCTGAGTCTGTCACAAAGACTTAACTAAATACCAAAGGAGCTTTTATCAGTGTATTAGCAGTATTGTTAAAGGTTTCCTTCTCCAGTTGGTAGGGGAAGCATAATTGGACAAAAACTGTTGCCTAGCACAAGAAAAACTGTATAGGAGCCGGGGATCCAGACTGTAAACAGTACCTCTATGGGGTGGAGGTAGGCTTACTGGAGGGAGCCAAAAAGTCTAATTTCTTAGCAATACACAACACCATCCCCAGCTCTTTCTTTCCTATTTGTTTTATCACTGCATCTTTGGACTCTGCCTCTTTCTCAACACTTCCTTCACAGATGTACTCACACAAAGTTTTGGAATAAAGGTGCCCAACAAATACACAATGACAAGAAAAACAACTGAATTAGAAGAGAGAAAATTTGTTGTGGAAGGTATGAAATCAGCCAAACAAATTTTTGAAAATGACAAAACAAAGAATGAAGACAATCATTCACACAATCTTACATCTGTTCATCATCAGCTGACAAAAAAAGCTATTGAGTTTATTCACTAAAACTGTATTAAGACGTAGCAACATTGAACATTGTAGGATTAGCCAGAACAGCTTAGCAGATAGAGCTCTTCTGTTTCATATCGACATCAAGATAATGAAAGTTTAATACTTCACTTTGGATAATTCCTCAGAAACAAATGCAGGAAGGACTGCTCCTCTCCATCCAACGTTTTCAGATAAATGTTGACACCTTCCCATTTAAAGGTCAATATTTTGAATAGCCAAAGTCAAGTGTTTAATTGAATTTTCTTTCAATTTGTTAAACTTCATATGATCAAAGAGTGAAATAAACCAAGTATAGTTTAAGAAAAGGATCTTGAGAAACAGTATTCTCTTAGAAAAAAATTCCCTTATATTAACAAATTTTACCATGTATACCATACATGGTATTATGACCAAGCAAATTTCATCGCCTTAAAGCTTTGTCATTTGCCACTTCAATTTCAATACTGTAAAATGTGCTTGGCAATATGTACTGGGAAACTTGTATTTACTTAACATTTTATAATTAATAATAGTATTTAAGCATATAGCAGCACATAAAAGAAATCCTTGCTTATTATTACTAAGGTAAAAAAAAGAATACTGTGTGTAATCTTTCTGTAACAAAGCTTTCGCTCCCTTCTGTACATATCAGCTTTGCAGTCACCTAGGTACTGCCTATAACCAATGAGTCTAACCCTCTCTGCTCCAAAGATAAATGGGGGGCGGGGGAATCATTTGTATGCTAAGTCTAAGCTTCATAATTGAAAAGTCCACATCCTGGACTATTACATTAGCTATGCTGATCCTAAAAAAAAAATCAAGTTTGTGACAAGGTTTGGTACGTAAATTCACTTTAGCCAGTGACGGTATCATACACAGAGCAGATCACCAGGAAGCGTTACACTCTCAGGGTCCGTACCCCTGCACTCTGCAGGTGTTTCCCAAAGCAAAACTGCCAGGGAAGATGGGGAGTCTACCCACTGACCACAGAGGGAGAAAGCACGAAGGATAGCTTTGCCTATACATGAGCATTGGTGCCAAAGTATTTGGCCGATAGACAGCTTCAGTCAGGACTAGAACATGCAGGAGGCCAGCGGGGCACAGCCCACCATCTCACTCATTCTAGGCTGAGTCTCCCCTTCTGCAACAATCTTTGGTTTTGCCACTTCCAGTCTCTGCCATGGAGAAAAACAGGCTTACCTAAAGAAGATATGTCTAATTAGGATTTTTCAAGCCTCAGAGTAAGTACGAGATGGTTTTACTCCCCAAGCTTGAAATCAGTTAGAGCCCAAGTTTCTTTTCATTGAACTGCCTAAATAGAGAAAAGAAGCATCTACAACATCTACTTCAACAAAAAATATTTACATTCAAAAATTCAAATATTTTAAATCTATTTAAGTAGCTATTCAAAAATTTTTAAAATATAAACTACTGCAAAACAGATTCCTAAAGCAAAATATTGTAGATACACTGTATCACAATTCAGGGCATTTTAAGAGTTACAGTTGCGAAGGGCAGGGGCAGAAATCTGCTAAACTTTCTAGTCCCAAGAATTATTACATTCCTATCTTAATTCCACACAAATTACAAACTCCTGCTTGTCAATGGTTTAATTATAATTGGTTACTTAAAAAAGAATGAGCTAAGTGTTCAAGGGACATGATTCAGTGAATATCAGATATAATTAAATGTGTCTCTACACTATTGAAGAATTTACCAACTGATGTCAGTCATGACACTTAGAACTTAAAATTAAAAAAAAAAAACAAAAAAAACACAACAAAGCCAAACAAAAAAACCCGATTAGTAAAGAATAAAGAAATAAAATGGAAAAAACATAACATTCTATAAAAGCACTATCAAATTATGGTTTCAAAGGCTTTCCCTGCTACTGAAACTCTTTTTAAAATGTTGTTAAAAAGCACACTGTACATTGCATCTGAATAATACTGAACAGCCTACAATGCACTGTATCTTTCTACTGACAGCTGAAAAACCTCAGTCTTCTAGTTGCCGGTGTATCTATTTAACTCTTTACAAAATAAATAACAACAAAGTTTCAGTGAATGCTTCCCCCTTAGTCATGAAACTTGTTAAGTAACTCTTCCTTATAACAGATGTTCTTGTAATAGCTGTGGGTTTTCTTTAACAGATCTGATCTGCCTGGATCATGCCTCAAACACCCCACTGCATCACTAGCCTTGCAAGACTGTGAAGACTGAACGTTTCTCAGACCACTATTTGGCAAGATTTCCAGGTCCTTGGAAATGAGTAAAGAGCAAGACTGCGGAGATGGGTTTTGCAGTGCAAAGATTGTTTTTGCAGGAACTATTTACAGGAGGAAGCGAGTAAAACCAAACAGCCCTGCTCTTACACGCAACAAACCCAAACTTCTTCTGCACGTTCAGTAAGGCACTATTTCAGGGAAGGGACCGCTTCCTGAAAAAAAAAGTTTAAAGAACTCCTGAGAAACTTCAAGTCAGGGTGTAATGCACAAGTGAAAGCAGTCAAAACACAGAAAAAAAACAAATACTCAGATACAACTGGGAAGTTTTTGTGCTTCAATATACACTTGCATACAGCAGATCTGGAGCACCACTCTAAATGTAACGTTATATCTTTTGAAGACTGATATATGTAGCGTCTTGTATCCCAATGTGCACCAAAAAAAAAGTCTACTTTGGATTAAGATATTCTTTGTTTACCATTACTCAGAATATTGACAGTCAGCACAGTTCAAAACATGAGAAGGATGAAGATACTAAACAGATTAGCTGAACACATACATTAGTCTGTTGCCCAATTGACTTAGAAACAAGCATGAAAAATTTTCATGTAGCTAAACATATGCTCGAGCACATGCAACCAGAATCATAGTAGTTGGCTCCTTTCCATTACCCATGAGGTTTATTCCCATAAGCTTCACATGAGATTGAATAATAGGCTTATAATAATGTCTGAAGCAGAGAAAGAATTCAAAGCACCCCAGACCAACAGATAGCACAGAAAAACGATGTCAATTAAACAGTGACAGCAAGAGAGAAGAGCGAATAAACGAGGAAAAAGGGAGAGGCATCCTGGAGTGAGGAAGGAGAAGTATCTCCACTTGCATTTAAATTATCATTCCTTTTTCTGCAGCCCTATGTTCATCAAAAATTATC